ATCATTGCTTTCAGGGAAACCATTGTTTTACTCAACGCTGGATCACCTATAAGAGTCACTATTTCTTGACCCAACTGAAATTTCATTACCAGCTTTCTCCAATCCATTGTAGTGTCACCCAACGTTTCTAACCAAGCCATACCGAGGACAACATCTGCACTACTCATGTCAAAGGGAAAAAAATCTTGAATTATTCGTACCTCCTGAACTTCTAAACATACTGCCTTACATTCGCCCTCACTCCTTACCTTATATCCATCTCCAACACGCACCCCAAACGACTGTGTTTGTGTCACCACAATGCCCAGCTTTTCTACAATCTCCTTACTAATGAAGTTGTGGGAAGCCCCACTGTCAATCAAGATAATCACCTCCTGACCCATTATACTCCCCTTCAACTTCATCGTTTTTGGTCCATTGATTCCAACAACCGAACTCAAAGAAAGTTCANTCGCTTCCGACGGCAGTTGATGATCCCGCCTTAGCTTGAGATGAAGTTTGACGAGCACGACGATTACGAGGACGACTTCTAGAACCACCGGGAGCTGTTGGAATCGGGGGCATAGTTTGAGGTGTATCGGATTCTGAGAATGGGAAAGTGGGACTATTTGAATCTCCTCCTGCATTTATGTTAGTAAAATCAGCAGGACTAGGACTAGGATAGCAGTTTCCGTCATCATTGTAATTGATGGGAGAGAAATATCTATCTATTGTAGTTGAAAAAAAAAATTGATGTAGAAGAAATAAAAATTAAAGAAAGCAAATTGGAGTATGGAAATTAGAATTTCGAAAATTGGAAATATGAATTAAAAATTGCAAAAACTAATAAAAATTAAAAAATGAGCAAATTGCAAAAACTAATAAATGAATAATTGAGACTTGAGAGATTAGAGATTAGAGAATATGAGAGAATGAGAGAATTTGAGTTGTGAGAAAAATGTGAGAGTTTAGGCCAATTTATAGGAAAAAATGGGAAAGAAAAATGACGAAAATGACCCCTACAACGGCTATATTTCAAGGGTAAAGGGGTAATTTGAAAAATAAAATAAAATATTTTATTTTTTTTAATTTTTTTCGGCCAACCCGTCGGGTTGGGTTGGCGGGTTGTAACGGCCAACCTGACGGGTTGCCGGGTCTCTTGCAAAAGAGACAAAATAGCAACCCGCCGGGTTGCGGGTTGCCATTGTGCAACCCGGCCTGCCCGGGGGTTGCTACCGGGTTTAACCCGCATTTTATCGGGTCGGGTTAGGGTTGACCCGCCTAACTCGACCCAAAATTTCCACCTCTAGTGGTGATGGGGAGGGTCGTCGACGTCGGCGATTGTGAGATCTGGCCGAAATTGAACAATTTTCGACTAGATCTTGGATAGATTTTCTGGGGAATGGCTCAAGGGATGATTGGAATTGCATTTGGTGTGTCTTCGTTGTCAACTAGTCGACTGTCAATTTGTATTTGGGGTGTGTTGGCTGAATTGCAAACCTGTAGGGACTTAACGTAATTTTTAGGGGTATATTTGCTGAATTTTAAACTTTTTGACACTTGGTTTGACCGCGGGTCAAACCAGTTAAACTGGTCAACCTGGGACCCAACAACTTTGCTAGGTCTCGCCATGGGTTAGTTATTAAAACAACATTGCCATTAGGCCACCTAGTGGTGGAATAGGACTTATTGTTTTCATGTTCCGTAGATGTCAGCAAATATCAGGGCTAAAATTATTTTCCATAGTTAGGCACATTGTGTTCTAATGATCCCACAAAGCCACCATTAATTGATCTTATCATTCGGCAGTAACAACATGCATTGATTAAACAGTTTTTTTAAAATGATAATATGGGTTTCATTCTCAGCTGTAAGATGGTGGATTAGTGACTTAAATGCCAGCTAACAACTTTGTTGTTAAATAACATAACTTCTACTAACAAGCAAAAATAATAATGAACATGTGCTGCTGTTGTTGGCCAAATTCCATTCTATCTGTTACCTCTAATCATCTCTACCTTACCTTATTTAAGGCACATTCACCATAAATTAACATCCTCACCAAACATGTACTGGCCCCTTTAATTTTCTAAGATGAAGGGATTTAAAGGCAATTAAGTCCTCCAACCTGTAATTCTTGTTTGTAATGAAAGATTTTTGAGTCATATTGATGATATGCACTTATAATCTACATTCAAGTAATTTAATAATTTATGGCTATGTGGGCATCAGGGGAAGATAATTCCTGGAATCTGCAGAAATAGAAGCTGCATAAAAACTAATTTAGTCTTTTGTTTCTGAAATGGGACTGTGCCTGAACATCAAAAGTGGCATTGTTTTATGATGGTTCGAAAATTAAGGATTGAGCGAAAACTTTTAACTCTCCTGAGAAAGAAGACAGTAAAGAAGAGAACAATCATCGCAGGTCTAAAATCTGATAACTATAGTAGAGGGATGCTTCTTCGGTTACTCAATACAGTAGTTCAACCCGGAGATAATGTACTGGCAATTCATGTTGAAGAACCAAATGATTCTTTTGATCTCAACACTTTTCACATTCATGAAGATTTATGCAAGTCCAAGCAGGTAGGAGCTGTAGTTGTCTTTGGAACGATTATTTAGACTAGAAAACATTTGGTTGATTGGTTAGCTGTTTCTTTTTTCAATGGTGTAATTATAATGCAGGTTGATTTCCTTGTCAAAGTCTGTACTGGAGACTCTTGATTTCCTTGTCAAAGTCTGTACTGGAGACTCTTACATTTCAGAATTGTCGAATGCAGTACGAGTCAATTATGCGACGATCCTTGCACTTGGATGCAGCCTTTCAGGGTATTGAATCTGATGAGTAAGCAAAAGCTCCCTCTTTCTTTCTTTATCTTTCTCTCATGTGAATTTTTGTTATGCAGGCCCAAAGATTCAGTAGTAAATTCATGCCTGAAAGCCTTGCCTCCCACTTGTACACTTCTAGTAATGGATAATGCAGGAAGAATCCGAGTTCAGATGCAGGGAACCTCGCAACAAGGATCTACAAAAGTAGTCCTTCAACCTTCACTTTCTTCTCCATTGAGATATCCTTCCTTGGACTTGAAGCAATTGGCAACCAGCCATCAGTTAAAAAAGTCGTTCACTGCACCATCTGCCTCAATGTCATCACCAATCAGACAAAATTATGATATGAGACTCTACAGTTTAAAGAAAACAGTGCAGGTTCCCAACTTCTTATCACAAGAACTCTCTCAGAGATTGTCACTCCTAGAAGCTGAGGGATCCATTAGGCGCTTCACATCACAAGAGCTCAATCATATTACTAATAATTTCAGCCCTGAAATGTTGATAGGAGAAGGTGGGAACAGTGAGGTTTATCGAGGTAACCTTCAGGGTGGTCAGATAGCAGCAGTCAAAGTCCTCAAAATTACACACTGGTCAGAAGAGGATGTTTTCCGAAAGTAGAGTTGCTATCAAGTATGAATCGTGAGAACATAGTTCAAATAATTGGATGCTGTCATAGCAAGGAAGTGAATGCAGTAGTGTATAATTTGTTAGACGGAAGCCTGAAACAATGTTTGAAACAACTCAAGTGGAATGAAAGGATGGTTGTTGCTATTGGTGTTGCAAAGGCGCTGGAGTATCTTCATCACTGTTGTGACCCTCCAATCATTCATAGAGATGTGAAGTCATCCAACATTCTCCTCTCTGACAATTGCCAGCCACAAGTAAGTTCTGCCTTAATAAAATTCATTCAAAATGCCCACTGATTATCATGTTAAATTTCACTTGGATGGTTTTACATGAGTATTAGTATTCACACCTATAAAATATGCTGCATTTCACATCCTAGCTCTCAGACTTTGGAGCAGCGATTGTACATCAAACTCAGCAAGTTTCAGCTGACATAAAGCCAACTGATGTTGTCAGGACCTTAGGATACTTAGCCCCAGAATACATGATGTATGGAAAGGTTGACGAAAAGATTGATGTGTACTCCTATGGGATTGTGCTCCTGGAACTTATCACAGGGAAAGAAGCTATTCAAACAAACCAGACGAAACATGAAAGCTTGGTACTTTGGGTAATACTTATCTTTTGAGTCAATACTGAAATGAAGTTTCTACATCTAAAAGCATTAAGCAAATGTGCATTGTAAACTTGCAGGCTAGGTATTTACTCAGCTGTGGCCTATGCGAACGTCTAATTGATCCTTACTTGAATGAAGACTACAAGAAGGAAGAAATGGAAATAATGATGTGTGCGGCACGCCTCTGCCTCTTGCATTCATCTTCTAGAAGGCCAACAATGAAGACAGTAAACTTTTTTTTTCATAGTCTGAAAAAAAATTTGCACATCAAATTTCCATTCTACCAAAAGTGTGAATGTGCATACTTTGAAACCTGAAATTTTCAATTAATGGACCACTTTTTAATTCTTTTACTAGATTTATGATTCACTGGGCTTGTTATCTTTTTGTATGGCCAAAAAGAATATGGTTTCTAGCCATCTTTTTCAGGTACTAGTTAACATTGTTCTGTTTTGGCAGATACTGAGGTTATTTGAGGAACCAGAATACTGGCTAAAGGTGAAAAGAGAAAAAGATGAGCTCCTAAATGGGATTATTTCCAAAGGAGAAACAGACCTCTGGAGACACTATGATGAGTCTGGCTGCAAAGAATCCAGGACTTCTGACAATAGCTAAACGTTTTTAACAACTTGTCAGTTATCAATGATCTATAGAAATTTAACAAAAGTATGTCCCGATAAAAAGGGTCACAAGTTGGTCCCTTCTTAACAATATAAAGTGGTTAGATTCTTTGCGGAGAAGAACTTCACATTCTGTTCAGAATAAAAGGCAGTCAAGGTCGAATCAATTCTCCCTTCTTGTCTTTTACATATGGTATCTTCGCATTACATAATTATATCAAAATAAAGGTCAGAGTATATGTAATGCAATAACCCTGTTTCTGTGGAATATACATCTCTAAATATTATTATCCAGTTTGAATCTTCAGTCAGTATAATGAGTGAAAGTTTAGAGCAATGCAACTCAAGCTCAAGTTATACATTGAATTGTGTTATCTAAATCTGTGTATTATTCTTCCATAAGCTTGTAATAAATAGAAATACAAATATAGAATAATACACTTATTAGGATACAATTGATCATATTGGGAAGGAACTTTTAAGGACTATTTCTGGTTATGCCGCGGCTAACTGAAAGAAGTTAATAGGAGATACAAATCTTTGTTCACCACTACTGTAGAGTGTCACAGCTGCCAACTTAGAAGCAGTCTGTGTAGGGTGGAATAAATCCCAGAACAAGTATTGATGCCGCTTTGAACAAAGATTTGCATTCGGTTCACAAAAGGACTCTCCATTGAATTTCCCACCTCCACGACATGCAGTTTTCACCTCCTTAAAATCTAAAAAATTAGATTTTATAGTTAGATTGTACCATTTAAAGACAATACTAGGACTAAATAAAATAGTGGGCACTTGAACAGGAGATTAAAAACCTTGTGTCGAAATGTAAAAATATATACTGTAATTTTTAGAGTGAGCAGCTTACTGAATAAAGCAGGGTTGTCTATAACATTTATTGTCATTTCATACGTGTTTCCAAGTGAATACTTTATGTCCTTATATTCTGTACTGAGTTTGTACATGAGAGTTTCCATTGTCACATAGAAAGCCCTCGCGTGTTCGTTCAACTCCTCCAAACAACCTCCAGTAGCATTATAAATCCTTTGAGATGGACAACATCCAATTGGTGGAACAATTATTATGCCAAACTTCCTTGCTCCAAGATTAAGTAGAGCCTGAGCATGAATTCAAGTTCAGTACCATGTACAAGAATTATGTCACTAATTTGAACAAAGTATATTTATGAGAATGACAAGGAAGAAATCTTACCCTCAAGTAATTTTCATACGCAAGTCCTAATGTGGATATGAACTCTTGCTTTGGTATAGTACTATTGGAATGGTAATAGCCAAAAATATCATTGCTACCAATACTGATGAAGAATAAAGACTTTGAGAGAAAATTTTCAGTTCCTGCTGGACCCATTGTGGCCATGAGCTTGCCATGAACATTGGAAAATTGCTGTATCTGCTCACTCAATGGGACAACATTCTTTTGGTTGCTCTGCAAGAAAGCATTTGGATATTTTTTTATCTTTTCCAAAGTTCATGAAAGTTAACTGAGAACAAAATAAGAAGATTTTCTTAACTGATGAGTGTATATATATAGAAGATTATTTAAAAGAGTATGAGGTGCTTACCATTGTTTGTCCAGTTACATCAAGAAGGCCAGAGCCTCCAGATGCAAAGTTTATACCTCTGAAGCTACTCTTCTTCACAGCATATGCAATGTTCAAAGAGAAAAAAGGTGGTGGACTTCTTTTATAACCCATTAGCTTGGCTGAACAAGAAACCATGAAGAAAACCGAAGTTAAGTATGCAAGAAAGTTCAGACTGCTTGATAATTTTTTTATTTTTTTATTTTTTTCCATTCCATGCATCCCAGAAAGAAAAAATTGGTTTTTAACAAAGATGGACCTTCATTTCACATGCATAGAGTGAGAACTATACTAACCAAGTAAATCAGCACTGTTTAGACCATTACTGAACCTTCCAGTTGGTCTTTTATTAGGAAAATCGATGCCATTGTGAGGAAAGTCTGCTCTTGCTGTGCTTTCAGGCAAGAAATTGTTGGTCCCAACATCAGCAGTTGAATCTCCAAGTATAAAAATAGATGGCACGTGTGCATTTGCCGAGTGAAATACGACCACCAGGGCCAATGAAAGGACCAAAAAAACTTACCCCTTTGCCATGGGAAATCTCTTTGCTTCTTTCCCATAGTAAACTTACTGTGAAAAAACTTCATTCAAACATTCAAGATGTTTAAGTATTTATATGCAAAAGAATTATGTAATGGTCCAAAACTGCCGGTAAATTTGTCATTTTCCAGAAAGAATATAAGCATAGAAGAACAAAAACTGTCTCATTAGACGGATTGTCCAACAGAGATAATTTCCTTTGTGATTATGTATTTCAACAGGGAATGTGATCAATTTAACTAGAAATAGGGTTTGCTAAGTAGCATATCTTTGAATCAATCAGTGATTATGGTAATTTCAATATCTTCGGAAAGACTGAGGTCAGTGAAAGGAGTGAATGAAGTCGATTGATTCGAAGATTTTGTTTGAATGTAATGAGGGTAAGAGACAACAATGTATTTTGAATGAGTCATTTGAATATACTTAAGGCAGGACACAAGATTAGTTTTTTGAATGAGTCAAAGGTCCTGCCGTCTTCAAGATTTGTACCTAACTGGCAAGAAATGGAATCCACAGTTCCATGACAGAAACAAGAAGGCCTGTTTGTTCTCACAATGCTAGTCTTGTAAGTTTACTAGTAATTTAATAAATCTATAATAGAAGAGAGTAAGACTTGACAGAAACATGAGATCAGAAAAACTATTTGCATTGCATTTATTTCAGAGAAAAAAAAGTATAACCAAGCGAAACCGAAGGAATTGTTTATGAACAAAACAAATAAATTACTTCACTCTTATCATGACAAACCAGAATACAAATTTTGTTGCAAAAGAATAGGACCTCGAGATGGGGTCATTTGACTCAAACGTGTGATGATAGTTAAAAGTCAACTATAACTAAAGCAGCAGCTTGTTTTATACAGGCCTTGTGTGTCTGCCTTTGGCCCTGCCACAGAGAAGTGCATTCTTTGGAATGGGATATTCATCCCTTACTGATTGTGAAGTTGTGTAAACTCTCAAGTAGAATTGTTGTCCAAGATATTGCCGCGCCCAATACTCAGTCCTCAGGTTCCACATTCCCACATTGTCAAGTGCTATGTAAATAGCTGTCCATGATTTGGGATATACCTGTTACACCAAAGGTAAATTTCCAATATTATTCGGCTGCTATAAATTTTATCTGGCATTTGAGAAAATCCATGGCTCAATATATTATCATGCTATCATTAGAACACATCTAACCTGAGTGGTGCTACGCGAAACAGCATCTCTCAGATTGTACTGAGTTCTACTAGCCGGTGTCCACTTTCCTCCATCCATTCTGAAAAAAATTACCATCACAAGATTAGTGCACAAGAAACAACACAAAAACTAAAAACTTTTAACTATTTTTTAATATGGTACATTATGATAAGTTCATTGTTTAAGTTCTTACCCCACAACCCAGAAGGCGTATCCGTCAAGGTGCCAGCTCTGGACAATGTTTTCTTTGTTCTCAAACACAATCTCAATAAAGGTTCTATAGTCAGCTCCCATGACTGATGTGTCAAGGTAGATATTGCCACCGGTAGGCTGTTCGGGGATGCTTCCAACACGAAAAACACCATCAATCTTGTAGTAGTCTGCAAGCTTTAGGGGAGTGTCGGCTGGTTTAAAAGATACACTATTAACTGCATATCTTTGCTTTCCATTTACTTGACCAGCTGAGCTCTGTAGCCTGATAGTTTTTGTAATGTTAATAAGACCGTAGTGGTATGAACCCTGTGGATTTGGTCTTGGTCCACTGGCTGTAAGATTAGTCCTGCATTGCACCAAAAATACGGTTAAGCTTCAGGAAAATGTACCCCATGTGAACCGTCATACGGTTAACTCAGGAAAACTTCACAATATGGGTACCTGATGGAGCGGGCCTGCTTGAGAGACCAATCAATTTGGTTGGTGGGGCCGCCAGGAAGTGGGCCTGATGGCTTGCTTTTGGAGTTTCTGTAGTGGAGAATGGCGGTGGCGGTCAGGACCTTGGTGGTGAAACGGGATGAGACCACAATGAAGAAATCCTGTGCAGGCTGGTCCATGGTAACTAGCACGGAGTAGGACTGACCCACATGAACATCAAGTGATGAATAAGTTGTTTGGACGGTGTGAGTTCCCTCAACTTCCACCAACTTCATCTTGTGGCCTTGAATGCGGAAGTTGAGTGAATTTTCCAAACCAACATTTGATATTCTAAACCTGTAAGTTTTTCCTTGATCAACCGTGAAAGTTATGCCATTGGCTCCGCGACCATTAATAAGAATGCCATCAGGGGAAGGAAGCTTATGGCCACGGTCTAGAATGGCCCTGAGTTTCTGTGACAAATTGAATAGACAAATAGTCATGTTACTATCAAGCATAAGAAGATGAATGCTTGTATTGATTTATTTTTGTATTTTAGTAAACTTACAGTGTGATTAGTTTTGTACCAATCTCCAATAAGAACAGTGAAATCATCAGCCGGGGGAGGGAATGGAACAGGAATTTGAGGCCTGCTGAGGATCCGAATGCCACCAAAACCACCAGCTGCCTTGTGGAAAGCAAGAGATGGGAAGTAATAAAAGCTGCCAATCTGATCTTTCACTTGTAAAATGTAAGTAAAGTTCTTGCCAGGAGGAATTGGACATGTGGTTCCATACACTCCATCTTCAAATGAATTCCTCCTTTGTTGGATGCCATTCCTGTAATTTGGCCATCATAACAAATATCCAATCAGAAACAAGATTTGTGCACTTCCCATAACCACATTCTAACCCAAAACCACATTTTTCAAGTGTGGAACCTAACTCCCAACAGAATTTTTGTGTGACACAACTGTCAAACACAAAGAAAGCCTGTTTTACAAGGAAACTAAACATGAAAAAAAAAAAAAAAAGGGTTTGAACTTACCAAGAAAGGAGAAAAGGCTCAGATAAACTGTTATGAACGTTGATGATGAGATTGTCATTAGTAACTGAGTAAATATTAGGCCCTGGAAACTGTCCATTAATCAAAATACCCTGCAACCAAGGAACAATCTTTAATCTTCCATCCACACGTTAACACTCCAAAAACAAACCAAAAATCCCACAAACACAAACCTGCTGGCGAACCCCAAGTGGGTAAATGTCACCATACGTAACATTCCATTCAAAGAACCTGTAAGGATTCTCAGCAGTTGCAACAATGGCCAAAGTAAGAAAGCCAACACACAGCCCCCAAAACACCATTGCTTAAAGCAGTTAACTTGAATTAATCAAACGGTAATAGAAAGAAAGAAAGAAAGGAAAAGAGAAGAAGAGAGAAGGTTAAGAATGTGGAGTTTAATATACAAGTTAGCGGTAACTGAAAGGTGACATGTTTGTACAAAGAAGGAAGCAACAATAAGCTTTATAACGTCACAAAGGGGTGTGCTTAGTGGCCTACTCAAAGCGGTGGATGGGTCCATCCATGGATTCTGCACGTCTCCTTTATATGTAGCTGACATTTTCAACCAATGGAAAATGGACACGTAAGTGAAACTTGATGTTACGGTGCGTGTGAGTGGAGGGGATCACAGCTGCATAAGACCGCGTTTGGTTGACTTCACATGCATGGGCTGGAAATTGGAATGTGGAAGGCCCGTGATTTGTGACGTGACACACGGCATATTCATGTGCCCATTTTCTCACCACCTAACACGCCACTTTTTGGAAAATCAACGGATGAGGTTGAATATTGGGATGGACCCACATGAAATGAAGAGTGAGGATTGGGAGGAAATAATTATACGCGGAAAAGAATAATGAGAATTGGGCAATTTGGCTGGTGACAGTGATTAAAAAGAAGAAGGAGGAAGTTGCTTTGATTGTAAGTGTAAATCTTAAATAAAATAATTGTTTCGGTGGTGAATGAGGGTATTTCTAAGTTGATTCATTTTATTCTAGTTTGATGGGATGATTATAAAACTTGAGTCAACATTCTTAGCAACATACAGCTGGTGGTTGGGCAGATTCTCCCAAGTCAATTGTTTTTATTCACATTGTAAATGAATTAATAAGTTTATATCTATCTTTTAAATGATTAATAATTATGAATTATTTTGAAATTTCTCCTTTTGATGGCCAAGTCTTTTCTTTATATTTTAAAGAGTTATTCGAATTAAAAATATTATCTAAAATGTTATTTCTTTTCTCCATTAAAATCAATATAAATAAACTACTTTTTTTGTGATTGAGTGTATTATTTAAGAGGTCTTAAGTTTGAGTTCCTCTTCAGCTACTAGTAGAGGTAATTACTGGAGTTCTTACTAGGTCGGTAGTTCTACGGTTCCGAGAGATTAGTGGAGTTTGAATCCCTCTTCGATTGCTAATAGAGGTAGTCACTGGAGCTCTTATCTAACCGGTAGTTCTAAGATCCCAAGGAACTAATTAAGTTTGAGTCTTTCCTTAGTTGTTAATAGAGGTAGTCACTGAAGCTCTTACTTGGCCGATAGTTCTAAGGTCTTAGGGGATTAATTGAGTTGTGTATAAACTAGTTCAGACACATCAGTCTTAAAATAAAAAAATAAAAAATCAATATAAATATTTAAAAACGTGCACGCACTAATTAAGAGTTGGATATATATATATATAAATATTTAAAAACGTGCAGGCATTAATGAAGAGTTGGAGTATGATATATATAATTCATGTTGATGTGTAATACAATATTTAATCATATATATATATATATATAAAAACGTGCAGGGATTAATGAAGAGTTGGAGTTGGATATATATAATTCATGTTGATGTGTAATACAATATTTAATCATCAAAAAGTCAATGATTAATGTTTGACTAAGGTTAATTAATACTAAACTTTGTATAAATCACGATGATATCTCCAGTAATTTCGAAAACTCATTAATGGTTCGTGCATGCCATGCTTAAGGTTGACACGTGATGTAAACCGTAAGTGATGGGTCTAAATCTAAAAATTGCTTAAAATGTAAGAAGGCTTATGAAATGATTCAATTTTGATAAATGAGGCCCGACATTTGCGCCCCAATTTTAGATGGTGGATTTGGAGGGTAAGTCATCACGCTAAAAAGTTAAACCCCGGCGTAAAGCAAACTGTCTAGCCTAGGAACTGGGTACCTCTTGGAATTGCAAGAATCGGAATCAACCGGTTCCTAGCAAAAAGCCAAAAAGAATTGGAACCAAAATCGATCGATTCTAATTCTTTGGTTCCAGAAACCAGAATCTATATTCTTGAAATGTAGGTTTCGGTTCATTTCCCAAGTATCCTGTAACATTCTATGTACCCCTTATTAATTTAAAAAATGACAAATACATCCTAAAAAATTATAAATACACCCCCAATTCCTATATCGGTTCCCAACAGGATACCCGAATGTAGGTTTGGGTTCTCGATTCCAACACTGTAGGAACCAAAACCAAATCCGAGAATTCCCAATTCCAATTTTCTAGAACTAAAACCTATCCCGTGAGGGCTGGTTCTGGTTTTTACTTGGAACTGGCAGTCTGGGTACCTATCGGCTCCAGGTTTACCCTTTACCCATGCTCACCCGTCACCCCTAGTCTAGATTAGATTTTGTGCAACATTTTTAAAAGATGTAAAGTTTTTGGATGGAAGTGGGGAGAAAGTATGGGGTATTTTTTGATATACCATTTTGGGTTTATTAAATGTAAGTATGTATATGCATTCAAAAGTTATGGGGGGGATTAAACAAATGGCATCTTTTGTTTGTGTAAGATTGTTAAAACACATTTATTGAAAAAAATATGAGCAGATTAGATTGAATTCAAATCTTACAAGTTAGTTATATTAAAAACTTGCTTAGTGGTAAGCTTGTCTATGCTTTATTTTATTAAGACGTGCAGGTCAACAAAATAAACAAAATTTTATAAGCAAGTTCACATGGCACAAGAGTTTGTATAAATAATTTGTTAGGGTAAAAATAATCAAACCCAATGTGGTAATCCATGATAAATGGCCCTAAAACAAGTCGATTAAGGTTCAAGATAAAGAGTAAAATGACTTTTTCCCACCTAAATAACAGCCTAAAGACACTTTCCCACCCATGGACTTTTAGAAATATCACTTTACTATCCAAATGTTATATTCCATTAATAATTTTCATTAAATACAATAATATGCATTGTGAAGACGAAAATACCCCCACTCATTAATTATTGGTTGATTGCAGGTTTGCAGTGGACGGCAATCAGTGAGCAATTGAGGTCGCGAGTGATAGGGGTTTAGTAAAAGGGACGCCGGTGATGCAATAGGTGGTGACGGGAGGGATTTCCGACAAGTAATTTGGTCAGAATTGAAGAAAATTGCAAAAAACCCTAGGGAGGAGGCAACGACAATCAGAGTTCAATTGGGGTGCGGGAGTATAGGGCTTTTGAATGGGAGAAGCTGGTGAGACAAGGGGTGAAGGTGGGAGGGGTTGTCGTCACCGAATTTTACTGGAATCTGGCAAAGGACAATCATGCGACGCAACTGCTATGGTTGGCAAACGATAGCTATTAGCGGGGGAAAAAGGGTGGGGGTTTTGTTACTAGGGTGGTGGGAATGTTGTGGTGGTAGTGGGAGGGCTCAACGACGCCGGATCAGGCCGAAATGACCTAAAAACGGGCGGCCTCTTAGTGGTTATGTGTCACAGGAAATCGGCGCATTAATTGACCATCATATCGTTTTCCATAACAAACTTTTGACCATTATGTCTTTCTTCACAATGAAATTTACTAACATAATTGTGTTTTGAATAGTAAAATGATATTTTAAAAGTTCGTGAGTCGAAAAGTGTCATTAAACCATTATGTGGGTGAGAAAAAGTCGTTTACTCCAAGATAAATGATCGAAAATAAATAGGCTGGAGGTTTAAGCCCTCTAATGCGCAAACATGAGAAGTCTGTCCAAAGGAAAAGGAGACCCAAAACCTATTAATGTTAAAGGGNAAACACATTTATTGAAAAAAATATGAGCAGATTAGATTGAATTCAAATCTTACAAGTTAGTTATATTAAAAACTTAGTGGTAAGCTTGTCTATGCTTTATTTTATTAAGACGTGCAGGTCAACAAAATAACACATGGCACAAGAGTTTGTATAAATAATTTGTTAGGGTAAAAATAATCAAACCCAATGTGGTAATCCATGATAAATGGCCCTAAAACAAGTCGATTAAGGTTCAAGATAAAGAGTAAAATAACTTTTTCCCACCTAAATAACAACCTAATGACAGTTTCCCACCCATGAACTTTTAGAAATATCACTTTACTATCCAAATATTATATTCCGTTAATAATTTCTGTTAAATATAGTAATATTCATTGTGAAGACGAAAATACCCCCACCCATTAATTATTGGTTGATTGCAGGTTTGCGGTGGACGGCAATCAACGACCAATTGAGGTCGCGAGTGATAGGGGTATTCAAAAAAATGCAAAAACCGAACCGAAAAAACGGTTCGGTTACGATTCAAAAAACCGAATTTCTGATTTGGTTACTAGTTCGAGAAAAAACAAAAACCGGTTAACTGAAACCGGTTTTTTATATATATTAAATAAAAATAAAAATTATATATTAAATAAAAAAATAATAATATAATATATTATATATTAAATAAAAAATAATAATGTAATATATTATAAAATTAAATAAAATAATAATAATATTTTTAATGTATTGTTAGTAGTGGTCAATGGATACGTATGAATGTTTAATTTTTATTTACATATGTATTATTTATATTTACAATTTAATTTAGGAAAAAATAAGTTTTATAAAAAAAAAAAAAAAAAGGGAAAACCGGTTAATCGCTTTAAAAAAACCGGTTAACCGAAAAACTGGTTCGGTTAAAAAACCGGTTAACCGCTTTTGAACACCCCTAGCGAGTGATAGGGGTTTAGTAGGGGGGACACCGGTGGTATAATAGGTGGTGACAGGAGGGATTTCCAACAAGTAACTTGGCCGAAATTAAAGAAAATCGCAAAAAACCCTAGGGAAGAGGCGATGACGATCAGTGTTCAATTGGGGTGGGGGAGTATAAGGCTTTTGAAGGGGAGAAGCTGGTGAGATAAGGGGTGGACGTGGGAGGGGTTGTCGTCACTGAATTTTGTTGGAATCTGGCAAAGGACAGTCATGTGACGCAACTGCTATGGCTGGCAAACGATAGCTATTAGCGGGGGAAAAATGGTGGGGTTTTGTTGCTAGGGTGGTGGGAATGTTGTGGTGATGGTGGGAGGGCTCAACGACGTCGGATCAGGCCGAACTGGCTTGAAAACGACGGCTACTCATTGGGTGTGTCACGAGAAATCAAGGCATTAATTGACCATCTTGTCGTTTTCCATAACAGAC